CAGAAAACCACAGAAAAGAGAGATCCTCACCCTACAACCAGGATTTGAACTCTCAGTGTCTAAAGAAAGATCAAACTCTGTAACTGGAAGGTTGCTGGAATAGAAGTTTCCCCATTGCATATCGACAACCTGAGGGCACCGCAATTAAAAAACTCCGCATCAGCACGAAGTCCTTAAAAAGAACTTAAAAATTGTAAAAGTAGTACTGAATATGATTTTTTGGCTCACAGTTTCACTAGATTGACGAGGAATTCCGAAAGGCCATTTTTCTACTGCACTAGAAGATTCTACATACGCAGCATTGGTGCCCATTCCTAAAGTAATAGCTGTCACGCTTTCTTGACTGTAGTATCTCCCTCCGGCCAAAACTCCAATTGTGTCATCAACCTGTACAAATTTGAAAACAGATATGTGCCCAAAGCCATGTTTGGCATAATGTGGAAGTAGCTAGGAATGGTAGACCAAGAAACTTACCAATGCAAGAACTTGCAAATCCACACCGTGCTTTTCCAAACATTCATTGATTTCATTCACATACACTTCCTTTGCCTGATTAGGGAGTATTCCTTACAAAGTCAGCCAAGTCATATAGCCTTTGAAATGTTTTCAATGCAATGGAACTTAGGCCGGTTTGGCACCACATTTTTTTTGTTTATCAAGTATCAACCTTATAAGACAGATGTTCTATCTAACACTAACTTAATTGAAGCAAAAGTTACTCGTGGGCTAAAATGACTGATATAACGATAAATGATCATTTCCCCCTCATTTTTCATACTATTTCTTTGAATATATAAAAAACGATGGACGTTTACTACAATTTTATATGATCAGCCCGCAAATTCAGGGAAAAAACTTCAGCAAATGTTTGGGCAACTCAAGTCCATTCTAGCAATAATTATATGAAATTTAGACAATTTCAGCAATAGTTTAAAGATTTGCAGTTTGAAGCAATGTAATAGACTTGGAGACAAACTATGAGCAGCAAATCATTGTTAGCATGAACCTTGGATAAATATTTTAGGGAGCGGGGTTCAGAACTTAACTGCATCACCTATTGATGAACCATTCACTTTGATGGCAGCTTCCATGGAGGCCGAAGCTTCCACCACTGGAAGCTGTGATATGGTGAATCCAAGCTTTCTCTGGCCTTGCCCATTCCTGGTGCTCTCACCATGCATTGTCATGAATTTCGCTAGTTCCAGACCAATCAAGTCAAATAAATCCTGAAAACAAGCACACCTAATTAGGGATGGGAAGTTGTAAACGAACAATTGAATGTTCTGAGAAACACAAATTGATCGACTGAAAATACCTTGGAAGTGCCATTGATTACATCCATGGGGATTGCAATTTCCTGTCTGGACAATTCTGTTACTGGTTCGTTCTTTCCCCCCAGTTTTGCTTGCAAAATCAAGAAATTATCTCCGCGAAGGTTTATCCCGTAATGCAACCCCTTCTCCTCTCTGTAACACAGCGCAATTAGATGCGAATTGATAATCTAACACGCGCTTCGAATTTGGGGACGAAGCTCAAAGAGGGAAAGAGTAGAACGTACCCGGTGGGAAGCGAAGCGACGTCGCATGGAAGCATTTGGAGGCCGCCGCATTTCCGATCGGGAGACGAGAGGGAATTCCGCATATCGGAAACGACGTCGTCAGCGATGCTCCGAAGCTTCTGGACGGGAGTGGCGCAGTCCCTGGCGAATTTCCGGAGAATGCGGTGCGCGTGCCTCCGCCGCCGCTCGCTCCGCCGATTGAAGCTCCGCACGGAAAGCGTTAGCGCGACGACGGTGGAAACCGTCGTCACCGCAGCCAAAACCACCACGACCTTTCTCGTCTCCATCTCTTTTCTTCTTCTCCTTCTTCGTTTTTCTATTGAATTTAGTAAGCCGCTCAAAATTGTTTCGTCTTCTACTCATTTTGCGCAGATCGATCAGAACTGTCCTTTAACAGAATCGCGACATTTGCTGCACCTGAGAACGGGTTTCATGGTGAACACGAAGAATGTGGAACCATGCACTTCCCTCCTGTGTAGCTTGTGCGAAAAGGATGGGCCGTTCGCCAGATCCATCCATATACTGAATTGGGTATGTCTTAAAGTCCAAATCTCCTCTTAGCCCAAGTATAGATGGGCCAATTTTGCTTATCATGATATTCCATAATTCCCAATAGGCCCAAAAATAAATGGCTTAATTTGGATTCTCCACACTAAAACCAACCTGGCATGGTACCCTACACTATGTTTGATTTGAGAAAATTAAAATGAGAATTCTTTTTAAAATTAATTTCTACTACAATGTAGTATCTGTTATGTAATCTAAACATATTAAAGCTCGTGGAATTGATATCCGCACCGGAGATCAAACATGTGTCCTCTCATTTAGGAGAGTAAGAGCGGTGCCATTGGACTACAAGGTCCTTGGCGGAAAACTAATATGAGATGAAAAAAAATATTCTTTTGTAGTTACAAAGGAAAACAAATTAAAAGAAAATTAGAAGGAAAAGAAAATTAAAATAAAAAAATGTACGAAGATGATGGAAAACGTCGTATCTCTCATTTTCCTTTTCATCCATATTCTTTCAATCAAACATAGTGGTAAGGTTTATAAAAGTTTTAAAAACCTTTTCATATAGTTTTTCTCTCTTTAAAAAAAATAAAAAAATACTTGTTATGACAGCAAACAAATGCTTACTAACACTATAGATGCACCATATAATTTGTGGAGCTGTATTCGCTTCATTAGAGCTTATGTAAAAGACTATATTCCTACCCCTACGTCTCAATATCATCACAAAAATGGTGTGTGTGTGTGGGTTGGTTCAACTACTTCAAAGTGATGATGAAAAAAAATGAAATGTAAAAGGAACAATTTTTTTCTTGGCTAACGGGTGGAATGCTAACAATTCATCAACGGTCTTGGCTGAGTGACAAATTTGCACTTCTGCTTTTGATGTGTTGCCCCAACTTTTTATGATCCTCTAAGTCATCACCTCAAGATTTCTTGTTAAAATGAAAGTTGTAATTTGGAACACTGAAAATAAAAGTTGGAAAATGCTTGGGAACCCAGTCAACTCATAGAGGCTTAATGTCTGAGCACGCATACACATTTAATATTTGTGTGTACCTATTTTTGTTATAGTATACATTTGGTGTACCTCAAGTGGGGTTCTCCACTTTTCCTAGTACTTCTCAATAAGATTTGATAACTTTGGGCAACTCATACTCTCTCAAAGTCTCACCACTCTCTTGTAAACTCTACAAAAAAAGTAGTATTGGATGACACGGATTTTGCTGAAATAACGCATAGGTCTTTCCATTTTCAAAAAAAACATTAGGAGACCTTACATTTTGTTGTAAAGATTGGGAGAAGACATTCTGTCTACTATTTCGTGAATGACCCTCAAAAAATGTACTCCGTATTTTTCTTATTTTTCACTTAATGATTTATGTTAATAAAGCTCATAACCTTCACTTTTTAATTTCCTTTTTCTTTATTTTTCTTTTTCATCCAGATTTTTTCAAATCCTTGTGTAAGTGTTTTTTTAAATTCAGAATTGTTTGTCTGATATAAAAATAAATGCAATTAAAATAACTACAGTAGAACATAATAAGAAAAATATAATTTTTAATGGTCATTAATGGAAAAATAGACGAAATGTCTCCTCACAGTCTTTACAAAAAAAGCATGAAAAATATTTATATCCTCTATGTTAATTGACTCCCTTCTACTCATGGGTGAGCATCGGGTCGGTTCGGACGATTTCGGCCCAAAACCAAACTAACTGAAACAAATTATGATTCAAAATAATCGACCGAACCGAACCGACCTTGGGCTAAAACCGAACAAACCGAAATCGACAATAACCAAACCGACCTTGAATTTTAATCTAATTATGAAATAATAAAAAAAATGAAAGTAAGCTATAATTACAAAAATGCAAAAATTCATATTTAAGACATCTATTGTTATGTACAAATTTCGTTCGTAAAACATTAAGATTTACTAACTGCAAATTTTAAGAGTAAAACATTTATTTAATAGTTCAATGTGTAAATTAATTAATAAAAGAAGCAGAACTAAAGATTAATTAAAAAAGTAGAATAAAGGGATGAATATGGACACATACATGTCTTAGAAATAGAAGGAATAAATGATTAAAGGGACATAGTTGGACTCAATTCACTTATTTGGCTTAAAAATAGGTAATATTAATTTAATAAATATTAGTGGCGAATATGGATTTCGGTTATTGGCATAACCAAATAAACCGAATTAAAGAATCGGAAACCGACCGAATTAACTGAAAAAATCGACAATTTGAGAATGGGTAACCGAAATCTAAACCCAAAAATCAGTTATTTTGATTTTCGGTTTCGCGGTCGGTACGATTATTTCGCTCACCCCTACTACTAGAGTATGTAATTGCAAGAATACATCCAAAAACACTACTATTAAGATAGAAATTAGGGGTCAATTCGGAATTCTGATTTCTCCCATGACTTGACATCGGTAGAATACTACCTCCAATTCCCTATATGTTCGATAGAGCAAAAGACTCCTCCCTCAAGCATCGACACATGCGACCAACTTCAACCATCCCCCATCGGTCACTTCTTCTGGCGATGCCATTTACCTGAAATTAACATTCATATCATATTTAAAATCTTTATAAGTCTTATTTTGGAGATTAAAACTTGAATGTCATATTTTGGTTCATTTATTATAATTTATTCTTGTTTTATTCTTTTTCTCTATAATTTTTGTACACTAGTTTCCAAAAAAATAAACTAAGAATAATTTATTTCCAACATTTTAAATCAAATGTTTTTTTCTAGAAAAGAATTTTGATCATTTTTTAAGGCCCAATACGATTGGGCCGTTTACATGTGGCGCCAATTAATCTTCTTTCAACAATTCGGACTAAATTTTAGCCCAATAAGTCCTGCTTTCTACAATGATCTCCATACTTCTTCTCCGGCATCCAATATCGTCATTTCGCCGTCCCCCCAATCCAATCCACAGGTATTTTCTCATCTTCAACCCTTATCTTCGTCTTGATTTGATCCCCAAATTTTATATTAATTTTTGTTCTGTTATCATCAATAAATGTTTGGATCTTTGGTAATCCTCAATTCTTACTCTTCAGATTCGACCTTTATTCTCGAGGTTGCGTATGAAACTCCGGTTTTCAGATCTTAAGTATTTGCTCTGTCTAATCTTTAGTTATTCTGTATAATCTTCGTATTTGTTCCGCCATTAAAAGAAGAAAAGAAACTCACCCCATGTAAGAATTGCTTCTTTGACTTCTACTGTTAAGAACTTCTCGTCTTCATGAATTTGATCCATTCAATGGTTTTGAGATTTCTTTCGCGTTGCTAGGTATTGTATGTTATGTGGAATTTATGATACAAGAATTTCCTTTTTCATTCATTATGCAACGCGGATGCGATTACTCCGTATAGCGTAGTTGTCACTTAACATGTCCGTTTTCGTGCGTTTTATTTTATACAGTTGTGGCCTTTTATTTTGTTTCCAACAAATAAGAATGTGATTTATTTATGTGTTTCTAAATCATTGAATTACTATATGCCATTTGTTTGTTTTTAGAATGGTGAAATTGTGCTTTGGTGTGATGTTTGCGCGATTTCGATGCAAAATACTCCCTTTGTCCCAAGAATACCAATATGATCTTCACCCTTTTCTCTTAAGTTAGGCCAAAAATAATTCTTTATTTTTTTTGAAGTACACAGTGTGGTTCAAACTTTCTTCTTCTAATCAAACTCTATCTACACACCTTTCACTTTTCCCAAGCTTCGTGAAATCAAACTATAAAGTTCTATATGGGACAGAGGGAGCATTGTTTAATGGGATGAAGATGGCCTTACTTGCATGCAGATAGTAATGGGAACTTTGTATACCTTGAAACTGTACTATGGGTTAGGGACTTACTAATATAGTTGCATAAGTGATTAAGTGGATTTCAAAATGCTATCATTGGCCCATGTTTTTCATACTCAGTGAACTATTTGTAAAGATCATTGAGATTCCCTCCTTCCCCACATACACTTTTTCTTCCTGATGCTCATTCGTGTTTATATATTGTGCAAAAACAGTGAGACACTAACATTTTGGAAATGGAGCTGAGTACCATTAAGGATGCTTTTGATAGGGTGGCAAAGAAGCAAAAACTCTCCTCTTCCAAATCTCAAGAAATAGTAACACAAATTGGGCAAGAAATAGAACAAGCCGTAGCAAGCATTCAAGGGGAGACATCCCTCAGTAATCACAAGCTTATTCTGGCAGAGCTGAAGGCCAAGTTGAAGGAAATCGCACCTCTAAACCAGCTCGAAGGTGCATCAAAAGAACTAAACATTGCATTAAGCAAGTACACGAAGATCCTTGAGAAGTTCTTTAACCCCGACATCTCAAAGGCCTACAGAAATGTTGACTTTGACATCCATACCCTCAACCAGATAATTGCCAGCCATTTTTATCAGGAGGGCATGTTTGACATTGGGGATTGCTTCGTGAATGAATCCAGGGAAGAATCAAATGCTTCGGTAGATAAAACTCCATACCTAGAGATGTATCAGATTCTAGAAGCCTTGAGGCTCCGGAACCTCCAACCAGCTTTGAACTGGGCTGCCACTAACCGTGAAAAACTCAAACTTTGTGGGGCCGACATTGAGATGAAACTTCACTGCTGGAATTTCGTTGAAATAGTAAAAAGCAAAGGCAAAGACGAGGCCCTAAAATACGCTCAAAACTTCTTCCCGCCCTTTTGTGCCAATCATTTAGCTGAAATCCAGAAGTTCATGGGATATCTTGTATATGCCGAGAGACTCGATTCCTCACCATACTCTGATCTCTTATCCCCAAAGCATTGGGAGAATCTGGCCGAGGATCTCAAAAGACAGTTCTGCAATCTACTTGGTCATCCCTATGAGAGTCCATTAAGGGTGACAATTGGAGCTGGGGTCCAGGGATTGCCAACCCTCCTAAAACTGATGAATGTTATGATGGCAAAGCAGGAATGGCAGTCCATGAAGGAGTTGCCGGTACACGTGGACCTGGACAGAGAGTTCCAGTTTCACTCTTTCTTTGTGTGTCCGGTGAGCCGTGAACAGGCGACCGAAGAGAATCCGCCTATGTTGTTGTCGTGTGGGCACGTGTTGTGCAGGCAATCCATAACAAAACTGTCCAAAAACAATAGCTCCAGGCCGTTCAAGTGTCCTTACTGCCCCACAGAGGTTGAACTGGTTCTCTGTAAGCCATTGTATTTCTGATATGGTTTGTAGTGCTCTTTGCATGAGCTCCATCTTTGTGTATTCTTCTACTTGTGACCACCCCACTACATTTCCATTTGCTTTCTCTCTCGCTCCCATTCTGTATACTTATCGAGTGTGGGTCAAGTATTAAGCTGCTAAACCTCTTTCATAACATCTCTATGTTTTTCTAACCCCTAGTAAACTCCCCAGCCCAATTCGAACCCACTCCCCTACCCCCATCAATTGGACCCACCGTCATTGGAGTCAAACTTTTGGCCATAAGTCGACTAAACTTGGGGAGTCTAATTGACGAGGGTAGGGGTTCGGGTCGGGCTGGGGGTTTATCGTAAGGGTTAGAAGGATAGAAACTATCAATTTTTTGAATCCAAATGGCTCTAAGGGGGAACTGTTGCCCAGCGACAAGGGGACCAATCCAATGTTTTTGGGGTATTATTTCTAATCTCTCGCTTGCATGCTTGTTTGGCATGTAGATTGAAATTTACTTACTCCGTAGTGTTCGGAAACTTATATTTATTTGAATTCTTAAATTATAAGCGTGTATGTATTTATAATTGAGTCTTTAAGAAATTATAGGGATTTGATCCAAATCTAAATTTTTTGGATATCCAATTATGTACTCCCTCTGTTTACTATTCACATAGTTAAATTTTATTCACTTTTTTTCTCTTTTTTTGTTAGTCATTTGATGAAATATTATATGCATGTCACCACTTGTTTCGTAGATCTTTTGATGTAGTTTTTAAATATGTAATTTTATTTTTTAATTATACATTGTTTTTCACATAAAATAATTTTAAAATAATTGCAGTGAAATATCGTTAGTCGAAATAGACGATTTAAAATAAGATAGAGGGAGTAATTTTTTTGTTGAATTTGGATTTGAAATCTCAATATTAGTTCTTAATATGCCATTAACTAAATTAGATTGAATTTAGGTTTCGTTTGGAAACATAGGAAAATGATTTTTTGAAAAATGAGTTTTGGAAAATTATTTCTGAAAAATCAATTCATTTTTTAGTGTTTGGTTGATAGTATGAAAACAAAATACAACTTTTTTTGGTCAGAAAATTATTTTGGATTACATTTAATTTTCTATATAAACTCTCATGTGTCATATTTTTTCAAAATGATCCTTTGGGTGCATACTATTTGTGGTATTGTACTTTGTAGACATCTCTCAATTCCACCATTAAGATGTGAAAATTGATTGAAATGCTCTTGGGATTTTGTTTTCACATTAATTTAGTGTTTGTATTATAAATTCTTTTATATTCCTTTTTAAGTTTATTGTATTTTCACTGCTATTTCACTTTTTTTTCAATGTTGATTCTCGTAGGTTACACAATTAATATTGAAAGTCTAGAGACTAAGTTAGAATAATTTTTTTTATAAAGCCAATAAGAGTTAAATTAGATTACCATTAGTACTTGATTTTTTTAAATATCTTTGTTTTGTTTTAGACAATTGTCGTGGGATTACTGGAAATTTACCGGAAAGAAGGTTGGCCGAAAATAGATAGAAGGTTTTCCAAAAAGGCATAATAGGGAGTGTGAGTTCTATGAATAAAATTTGAGATTCTTCGGAGTAATTATTATAAGGCATAATAGAGATGTGTTCAATATTTCAAACTAACGGACCGTTAACTTCTAATGGTGGACTTGATGGAATATATCTTTAGAGTACATTATCAAAAATATCAAACGTCGAAAAGCTATTTTGGAAAATATCGGACCAAAGAGTTTTAAACAAAAAATCAAGGGTATAGCAAAATAATTTTCAATAGTTTTTATTATAAAACATGACGGGTTTCAAATATCTTTCATTGGTAAAAAATCAAAGATTATTACGGAGTAACATTTTTTCAAAAATCTGAAATTTTTAACAAAAAACCTAAAATTTGATAATATAGGCTATCTACAGGAGCAATATTTTCAATCTGCATTATCATTTTTAGAGCAAATTAACTTCAAAAATCTAAAACATGATGTTGGGGTAGATAGAATTGCAAAACGTTAAAATTGTAGTCCGTAAATTGTTATTAAAGTCCGAGGTGAAAAGAATTTGGGCCTCAAACTCCTTTTGATTGGTTTTCTAGAGGGAAACAAAGTTTCGATTTTTACTCACCCATGCTTGTTTGTGAATTCTTCAGTGGATAGGCAATGAAATGAAACCAATATTGCTTGTGCTTTTTATGTCTTAGAGTCTAGTTCTCAAAGTTGATTTATGTGATTCTTTTTGGTGTTCTAACTTAATTGGTCGTGTTGTTGTGCTTTTTCAATTAGTGCTTTTATATTTGAGTTGAAGGCTATTGGATTAGGGAAAGTTTCCCACAACTACCATAGAAATATAAGACAATTGAATTCAATGGTTTAATTGACCATAAATGTCTTGCACAACTAAAAACGGATTACCATATGTCCATATTTTTATGTTATGTCTCGTTTTTATTTCTCTTTCAAACACTTCTGAATTAAACAAGCTATATGTTCTATTATTATATTTATAGAACAAATTCAATGGTTTTATTTAAGTAATTAGATAAATTACTACAGTACATCTTAATTTGTAGTTCATGCTGGTGTGATTTTATGTCTTGACTAGTAGCTTGTGCTTATGTGTTTTTTTTTTGTTTTGGGTCAAGTTTTTTTGTACTTAGTTTGTCGTATGGTTGTGGTTTCTCAATCTGTGCTTTTATACTTGAGTTGAAGGCTTATTGGAAAATTCCCCTCTACTATCATAGAAATATAAGACAATTGAATTCGATGGTTTAATTGATCATAAATGTCTTGCACAACTGAAAATCGATTACCATATTTTAATGTTATGTCTCACATTCTTTCTTTTCCAAACACTTCTGAGTTAAACAAACTACATGTTTTATAATAAAAATTATAGAATGAAATGCGTTTTGGAACTTGTAATGTATATGTATTAAATTAAACAAGTGGCAATCCATTTATTTAGTCATGCAATAGAGTTTTTTTATCATTAAAAAACCGGGAACAACAACCCATTTGGATCTCACGAGAGTGGGATCTAGTACTAAAAAATTGGCAATATTAAAAAAATTAAAATGCCAAAAAATCCAAAGTAGAAAAATGAGAAAAATGAGAAAAAAAATTAATTTTTAATTTTCATTTTAAAATATACAGAGTATAATTTAATTTAATTCGACAATGATGAATATTAAATATATATAACAAAGTGTAACCATTGCAGTGGAAGAAAGATACTACGGGTGTGAAATGATGAAATGATAAATATCAGTGTTGATATAACAGTATAACACTGATACACTGATCGAGCGCTTGCTAATTTAGAGCGAATGGTGGTGGAGGGTTAGTGATGGTTTTAATGGCAATTTAGCCTTGCACGCCATTACGCAAGGGAATGCGTTTATGGTGAACCTAATTAATATTGAGTGTGACCAGTAGCGGTTTAAGGTGGGTGTCTATTTTGTCCTTGGTCATAAGCACTTTCTACACCTTTTTTTTTCTGTAAGTCCTCCACATTTTTTAAATAAAAATGTGAAATCAAAATTTGAATTTCCAATTAAAATGGCAGTTTCTGACCAATGATGGGTAACTTGGAAATTGGTTCATTGAATCTCTTTTTATTGATTCACAAACCCAAAAGGCAGAGGAAACTTCCCTTTCATAAATGAGTGGACGAAACGGCAAAAAGTTACTCATTTTTTATAATCCAATCCATAGGGAAACCCACCAAAAAAAGATCTAATACACATTACTTTTTTTTTTTTTAAATTTTACCTTTTTACGAAAAAGCTTTCACCTCTCACGCAGTCACGGACGACTTCTTCCACGCAGTAACTTTTTTTCTACTTCTTCTTCTTTCTGTTTTGTTTACAAAGCAAGAATTAATTAGTCGTGTTAAAATCAATGATTTTAAAACCGGACCGGACCAGCCGGTCTGACTGGTCAGACCGCGAACCAGTGAACTTCCCGGTCCGGTCCAATATCAAAACCCAATTTCCTTTTGACCCGCTGGAAACCGGCCGACCCGGAAAAAACCGCTGACCCGGGTCGACCCATTGACCCATACTCTCTACTTAGCTTGACTGCTTGAGAATTAAAAATAGAGGCGAAGGTGGGTTTCGAACCCGGATGGCCAAGGTTGGCAGGAGAGAGGAAATCCACTTGTACAGCCGGTACTTTTGTTTACAATAACGCACTATTTTATATACTACCAAAGATTATGTAGAGAAAGAACTACATAATCAATTTTATATATCATTTAAAAGACTTCAAATGATTAAAAAAGAACTATGTTGATATAATATATTTGTTTTATCAACTTTTAAACTTTAATATGCTACATTTCATTTTTAATCAATGAAATATAAACTTTATAATGTCAATAATACAGAAAAACACATTATCTAGTCTATTTATTTTTGAAAATATGAGTATTATTTTTTACTATTTATGTATTTATTAGACATTCAATCTGAACTTTTAATAAAAATAGAAATTAAAGTATTAAATTTTATATTCACAATGACATTAATTGAAAATATCTAATAATATACATATATAAATAAATATATTAATTATATTTGACCGGTTCGTTGACTCCGGGTTGACCGGTTCAACCGGTTAGCCCTTGACCCACACCCTGGTCCGAGTCGACGGCCGGTCCGGTTTTCAAAACATTGGTTAAAATGGACAGGCTAGAAATGGTCCAATTTTACGCGGCCAATTCAAGTCATTGGGTAATGATTATGAAGGGGAAAGAGAAATGGATTCAATAATGCTCACTTTCATTGCAATTACCCGTAAGAATTATCACTTAATTATTCTCAACTTTAATAATTGAAAATAAGCATTAAAAATTATAAGTAAATTCAAGAATATTGGATACTTTTTTTTATAAAAGTTTGATGGGCCAAAGGTAGCGTTGGAGGACATACACTAGTTTGAACTAGCGTCTTGCGCGATAGACCCAACATATAAATTCAGGGGGATTCTAGCTTAAAATCAATTGACGATAAGAGGGAAGTCTTAGAAATTTATATGTTGGATACTTTGTTGCTTCTTTTTTTTATGTGGAATGGAACTCCCAACACCACCCCACAAGTGCAACTGCATGTCCCCACATTTTTTTGCCAGTTGCGCTTAACGTTTTTTTTTGCATGATATGTGCTACACATTAACCTATGGAGATTCCAGCTTAAAACTAATTGGCGAAAGAAGGAGAGACCATGGAACTTATACGTTGGGTACCTTGCTGTTTCTTTTCGGACGTGGGATGAAATTGGTCATCCAAAATTGGAATGTGTGGGAGCTAGTTTGGATAAGTAAATCATACATAACCACTAATGCTTAATTGGTACCTAACTAGTGATATAACACTCGTTATTCACATCATCAAAGTCTTTTTCAAATCTCTGTTTGGGGAGGCCATTACAGCTGTGGTTAGCTTCATCCAATGGTCACTCTCAGTGACCAAATCACAACAATAATAGTTATACTGCAACTGATTGAATCATTTCAGATATTTCTCATCAGTTTTGCAACCAATCCGAGGCCCAGGCCCAGCCATGACGACCCCTCTCGATCTCATCATCTTCGATCTACTTTATTCCCACGTTTGCAAACTATGGAGTACTACACAGCCTTTCTCTTCTTTTTAACTGATACGCCACGTTTGCAAATATCTTCAACATGCATTCCAAGCACATTTCTTGAATGAACATGTAGCCATTGCGCAATTCACAAATACCCAATTGATTCAATGAAATTAAATTGTCCAATTCCGATATACTTTTGGCACTACCAATTTCAAATTCACATATTGTTTGTGCTATAAAAAAGCAGAATTGAAATTGTTGGGTTATGGAACCCGGGGGCCTAGGTAACTAGGCGGACGAGTATCGAATTAAGTACGAGCGCACAAAGTATGAGGGGTCAAGTGAACCGAGAGCAATAATGTGCTAGTAAGGGTAATACTTAGAACGTGAGTCCCCCTTCCCTTAGAAGGAAAGAGGTTTATATACAAGTTACAGCTAGGGTTCCGACCGTTGGTCCGTAATCCAACGGTCTGGGCCCACTAAGATTGGGTTATTCACTGGCAGCGTCCAACCACATAATTAACCCTAAGACTGCTACACGAAGTAGGTTACAAGTAGGGTGGCTATAGCAACTCTGCCAGAGGCATGGCAGGAGTCTAATCGTGGGCCCCTTGATCCTGACCAGGCCGGCTCCCTCGTCTAGATCTGGTCTGCCGCTGCTCGTGGCCGAGGCCGAGCGCCTGACTTGCCTTCGGAAGCCTCTGGATGGAGGGCCGGCCGTGGTTGCTCCGAGGATGACCAACCCTGCCGAGGCCGAGTGCGCAGTGCTGCCGAGGCGCTCTTTGTTGGTCACTTGTCCTGGTTCCGTCAAGTGGGCCTTGACGAAGTTGGGCTGGGCCGTCTTCCTGCTGGGCTGGATATCCCCATTCCCGGGTATCCATCAGAAATATTTATAATCAATTTTAATTTCATAATTTGAAGTTCATATACCAAACAGAGTCAAGGTGCTTAAAAGGTAACATCCAAGTTAAATTTCTAACAATTGTGTTGGAAGACAACTATATTAAGTATAAGATTTTTGCATGTGCAAGGTATATGCTTCCCTCTTTTCCATAATATGTAATTAAAGCCCAATTAATTTTCTCTCAATGATTGTATAACTACGGGGATAGGCCTCATCTTTTGTTTGAATCAATGATCTATATAAAAAACTTGAAGATTCATTATCGGGATAATCAACAAAATATTCTCCTTCTCCGTTTCAAATTAATTTGCATTCTTTATAAAGATTTTAAAAAGGGGAAATTTATCCAAATAGTACTAAAACATAATGACTTTCCAATGTAGTATCATATGTTTTTATTTTCCAATGTAGTACTACTTGTTATTGTCCTACTGATCATTATTCAAGTAAAATATCCACCATGAAATGTGGACCTTCTCACTCTTTTCATGGGCTAAAAATTGAATCTTTTCATTTATGCCAAAGGCCCAATTTTTTTGGGATGTATATACACTAAGATCCATAAAATGAGCATAAAGTTTAGAACCACGAAAGAATTTTCCTGCTAGAAGAAAATAGATATCATTACTATTATTATTACTTAGCATTATTTACTTCCTTAGTCTAGTATTATATTATCATGGTTGTTATTCTACTATGATTAATTCTCTTTGTATTTTCCATGTCTATAGATGGAACTTTCATTACTTAATAAGATTAAAGATTATCAAATTGTATCATGATATCGAAACTAAAGTCTCTCTCTCTTAAAAAGCCTAACTCTTTTATTTCAACCATACACCACCACCAGTCTTCATCATCGACGATCGACTACCACAGATCAAGACTTCGTTGTCCCTTATCCCTCTTTTTCTCTCCAAAAAAAATTATGATTGTGCCTAACAGCCATCGTCTATGATCTTATCCCTCTCTCCCTATCTCTAAAAAAAATCGTGTGCGAATCAAAGAATTGAAATATTCCATTTGTCTATATTTCTTTTACAGTTCGAGAGTATAGAAAACGATTGAGAAGCAGAGAAAGGCCAACAAAGAGATAAAAGAAACTACTCGTGTTCAATCCAATCCCAACGCTCCTCGTGTTTCTTTTACACGCCATTCAAGGTAAGACCACTTTGAAACGAGGATCTGCAATGGGTAGGGGGATCTGCTGCGTCACATGCCTCCCCATGTAGCGACGTGCCGCACATCCATTGCATGAGGACGGCTGTGATTTAAGATGCGGCGCTCGGCCCACTTCCGGCACAAAGCCAGGCTGAGTTTCCGGAGCGCCGTCCATTGTGATGGTGTGTCGCGCCGTTCACCACCGCACACCCCCCCCCCCCTCTTTTTTTATATTTTAACTGAATAAGTTCAACACATCTTCAGCTTCAATTCATCACTTTCATCTGTCATCATATCCCTCTCTATTCAAGCACTTCTTTTATTTTTCACTTTTTATAAATTTGATTTTAAGCATGTTATTTTTTTCTTTTTATTTATGTTGTATTTCATAAATTATTGTTATATTCGGTTTTTTATTTTTGAATTGTTACCATCCTTTTTTCATATTTTTAAAAATCATTAATCTTTTTTTGTTTAAAATAAAAACTTACTCCCTCCGTTCCAAGATATTTGTCACATTTGTTTTTTCAGCAGTCGCGGGAAGTTTTGTTTATTTCTACGTTTTCGTTGGTTATTTGATAAAATAAAATATTCTTGACACCTCTTACTTGGAAGAACTTTTCATATAGATTTTTGATATGTAAATTTTATTTTTTATTTCTATACTAATATGTAAATAAAATAAAATGAAAAAACTTGATATTTTACCTCGGTAATAGAAGTGTGACAAATATTTAAGAACAGAGGAAGTAAATTAAATTTATATACGTTTTAGTCAAAAGTGATGAATAACATAAAAATGAAAAGACGAGTTTTCAAAGAGATAGCAGAGTAGAATTTTAGAGCGGAACGTAAAATTAAGGAAATGATGATGTGACAAGAATTGGAGGAGAATCAATTTGCTCCCCATTGTAAATGAATGGTTGCATTTGTTTGGTTTGAATTAGTAGCATTTGTTTGGTTTGAAATGAATGGTTGATAGTAATATTAATATATTATCTCATGTGGACTACTAATAAATACCACTAATTTACATTCACAAGATGAATGGTACTGTGTTACGGACTGGATGGAGTACTATTCTCTTCAAATTTCACTCCCCCACATATTCTGCCAATTGTTATTTTTTTTTTTATCAAAAATTGTTATCAAAAGATTCCATTTCAAAGTCCCCTTGGGCATATGAAAAACTACAAACAATTTGTTGAGAACTGAAATTTAAGAATAAACAATTTAAAAATTTTGAAAATAAAGACAAAGTGGAGAGCCCCATCCCCACCTCACTGCCTCAAAATCAATCAATCAATCATCACTTGATGACACACCCAAATCAACTATTTTAGTCTTGACCCCATTGTATTATGCCCACTTTTGGTCCCATTTTTTTCCTCTAAATTACGACTACATTATTACTCCCTATTATTATTATTATCATTAAATACTCAAATATTTATAGTATTAACAATAATACCACTAATAATAATAATAATAATACCATAATAACGTTTAAGATTTAATAATTCTGAAGTGAAGGGTGGGGATTCGGGGGTGGGGGGTTGAAGCCGGCTTGAATTTCTAAAATCTGGCGTCCTCGAAGCCGTGTAAATCGCTGACTCTGTTCATAGACTTTCTGGTCATAGCCACCTTAGCTAACATCTCCGCCGCTCGCCAAGCCGATGTTGGGGTCAGGGGTTCGGCCTTCTGTTCTTCGTTCCTCCGCCGACGTTGCGCCGCCACCTGAGCCTGATTTTGCTTCGTCCGGTGAAGCTCCGATAGCTCGGCTTCCAATCCGCGCACGAACTCGTCCGGTTCCCCCGCGTTTGACTGCAGCAGCAGGGCTCGAGCCGAAGACAGCATCCGCTGCGCCGCGCTGAACTCGTTACGCTCGGCGGCGAGCCGCCTTGACTCGGCCACGGCGCGAGTCGACACGAAGAGACTCCTCAGCCGTCGGATGTTGAGCGGCGAAGATCGGACGGCTTGGGCGCGTGGAACGGGTAACGCTTGTTCTGGGCAATGGATGAACTCGTGAGTTGACGGGTCTTTGTAAACGGATCGAACGGACATCGCGTGGTGGGCCCCAACCGCTGATGATGGGACTTTCAGTTCCACCAGCAATTCTCTCTCCTCCTCTGCGTAAAAATCTCCCAACCGGATCTGACCCGACCCGTGACACGCCGGACGTTCCCCGTTCGAGTAAACGGCGGCGATTTCCGCCGGAGCGGAGCCGAACACGAACCCGAGCTCGATCCGGAGGTCATGAGCGACGACGTTTAGCAATCCGCCAATGCATTTTGTCAGCGCGTCTTCGGATGACACGGATCCGAACCCGGTAGCCTCGTTGAGTGCGACGGAATACACGGGGATCTCATGTGTCCCGAATAGCTTAGAGGATGATACCACCGGAGATTGGGGGGTCTGGTAGACGGAGAGCGCGACGGACTTGTCGTAATGGCGGTCGGATAATAGGAGGATGCTGGCGGCGGAATTTCGCTCGCGGCGGTCATCTAGAACCTTCGCTGCCTTCTTGAGCGCGTCGTTTGCACTCGCCGCTCCTCCCAGAGAGACCATGGCGTCCACTATTCGACGCGCTGATCGTCGGCCGCTCGACGTCATCCGCCGCAGCGGAAACAGTCGCTTAGAAGTCGCGGAGAACGCCACAATAGAGAGTCTGTCGGCCGCGGAGAGCGACGACACCACCAGCCTCATCGCCCGCTTCATCACCTGGATGCTATCGGCAGTCATTTTACCGCCGACATCCAGCACCGCCACCAAATCTATGGGAGCTCTACGAGAATTCATCGGCGAAGCCGGCGGAGCTCTGAGTCTCAGAACTACGGCATGCGTTTCGTGACTTTTCCCGACAGAAACTACGGCCGCATCAGGCAACAGCCTCGCCTCAAAGTCATTACAAACTTTGGCCGTCGCCGCCATGTACATCACCGGGCTCGCTTTTTCATAGAAAAATCCCTGAAACTCCTCATTCTCCTCATCGGATTCCGGTATGGGATTAAACCGCGCACCGGAAGTTGGAGACATCAATGGTTCATCATCATTGTAGACTTTCAAAATCCGGTGCTGCTTATTATTATTATCCGCCTCGCTCTTAACACGAACGGCAGCCATTGGTTTCGGCGACACCTGTCGAATCGTTCTCTCTTCTACATCCACTTCCACCGTCGTAATCTGATCATCCAGAGGCGACAGCACCGGCAACTCTCTCCAGTTTGAGCTGCAAATGGGGCAAACGAGTCTACCTTGTTTCTTCACATGGGCAGCAACGCAGGGGAAGTGGAAACTGTGAGAGCACTCCGCCGTGAATATGGCCGTCCCTTGGCCGGATTTCACCGTCTTCGCACATATACCGCATCTGCTCTGCTATTCACCATTTTCAAACAAAAACAACATCAAAAATCAGAAAACGATCAAAAGCATTCCATCAATGAATGAAGAATATATAAATAAATGCATACCTTAGATAGACGGAGACTGGATTTGAGCAGAGAGAAGGCGGAAGGGGAGCGAGGAGAGGAAGGCAGTGAGCGGTGGGAGAATGTGGGACTCCTAGAATGAACCTTGGGACTGTCGGCGGGCGGAGTCGCCGTGGTCCGGCAACGAAGACCGGATGTAGACACCGGCGGCTGAGACTGCAACCGCGGCGTGGAAGGATTGGAGAAGAATCCGAACTTAGATCCGGATTTGGGGCTGGGAAGAGGGGCGGAAGAAGAAGTATCCTTGGAATGTCGATCTCTGGGGATCGATGCACAGAAGGGCCGTTTCCATCCCAAACCCATGGTGAATCCGACGAGATTCTTCTTCTCAGAAGCGAAAAACGAAGGAAGAATCAAAAGGACAAAATAATTATGTTGTGGAGAAGAAGCAAAGAAGAAGAGGATAAAACCATTTGAATATATGAATCGGGGAGAGAGTCCAAATTAAAGAGCTGTCCCTATCTGTAATCCTCGAGCAATTAAATCAAATTAAAAGCGGCCTGAAACAAGTAAGAATGGCAGATTTGCAGAGGGCATTGATATCTCACTCTCTCACTGCTTCTTCTTCTGGGAAAAAAAAACTAAAAAAAGTGAATAAGAGAAAAAGGAAGGGGAGAGGGGCGTGCAGGCAAGTGGAGGTGGAGAAATGGTGGGGTTTTGTATTTATCATTCTCATCCGCTAGGAGTCAACGGCCCCGTCTCTTTTACTGCAACCGTATTTTCTTCTTCTCAATATTTGACTTGGGATGAAATTTCCAATTTTTGGTTGTTTGGTGTGAAATGATATCACTTACCATTATTATTGTAATTGCGGAGTAATTACTAGCCCTTTGTTTGCCCCAACACATTACGAAATCTTTAATGACATCATCCTTCTTCATTACAAAATTCTTACTTCCTCCATCCGAAAATATATTTCCTATTTGACTTTTCTTGGTCAAAGTCTGTAAACTTTAATTATGATTGATGGTGTAAATATAGATGGGTGTGTTAACCGGGTTTGACCTGGACACACTCGACCCGTAATATAAAACACACAACAAGAACACAAGGTATAACCTAGACTGGGTAATTTTTCTCAGTCCGAATTATATTTCTTACTCTATCTCATAAGTGTACTATTTTTAGTGAGATACAGAATGAAATCTCTCCTCTATCCAATATCATCATATTTATAGAGGGGGGTTTGTGACCTTCCCATGTTCATCCATGGACAAAATAGGAAGCCCGTGGGAAGGTCACTGTAGTTAATGGGAACACTGTACAATCATTGATTTTAATAGCTACAAGCCAAGACACTGTTCAATCAAAGACTATAAATGGATATTCTCAATCCAATCAGTCCTGCAAAGTGACAAACACCCCTTTCACTATTTTGCCTCGTGATGGACGAACGGCGTGGTGATCCCTTGATCTTTAGCGTGGTTCACCATGCCTGAGATACTGGACCAATGTTTGCAAAGTAAAGTGACATGACCGGTCACCTTCTCTCAAAGGTTACCCGGTCATTTCTTGCGCTCAACCCGTCTCTCTGGTCTTCTATAATGTCCTTTGTAATATTAGGCGACATTTTGGCTATCGCCCAAAATGTGACTGGTCACTTTTTTAGTGGAAGTGACCGGTCAACTTTTGACCCGTCCCAATCGAAGAGTTAACCTCATTTGATGATTGATAAAAGTAACCGGTCATACTTTGACATGTCCCTTTCGGTTGTCCGGGTCGGGTATAGGGATATACCCATCAATGATATGTGAAAAAAATATATTGTATTACGATATAACTTTAATATGAATATATTCATTTTGAAATATAATTTTCAAATATCAAATTTTTATAAAATATATCCATGTACTTCCTCCGTCCAAAAAAGATTGGTACATATTGACTTTTTGGGAAATTAAGAGAGGGATATTTTGGTGTTGACTTTCTAAAAATATCTTTGATGTGATGAGTAAAAGTAGGATGTGATGTGTATATTATTAAAAAAAGGTATGATATGATAAGTAGGATATAAAAAAGTAATGAGTAAAAGTAGTTTTTTAATAGAAATGTAACGGACTTTACGGGACACAATTTTTTCGAAACGTGTCGGACTTTTTGGAACGGAGGGAGTATAAATAAAACTATTAGTGGTCAAAGTGCAATCTTGAAGACCGTAAAAAATCAAATGAGAAGAACATTTTCGGACGAAGAAGTATCTTTTTTCTCTATTTCTTTTTTATTTTTAATCATATTCTATCAATCTAAATTTTCAAGGTGTCCTAAAAAGTTCTTATTTCCTTTTTCAGATGTCTTAAAAACATTAGCAATGACAAGACAAAAATGAAATATCACACGGTGACATCGATTATTTCAACCAATAAAAAATAATTCAATCACCGTGTGACTAAAGAGTGGAGTGTTGTAACATACAATGGCAAGCCATTGTTTTTGTCTATTTTTGTACTTTTTAATGATTTTTAATTATTAAAAATTATTTTATACCTTTATTTTATTATTAAAATTCGTCTACTTCTTTTTAAAAATATTTTTTTCAAAAATTAAAAATATTAAGAAAAATAAAAAATGAGGGAGTAAAGCCTTGCACATGGAATGAAAAAAAAGGTGGAATGGCCATAGAATGCCATGATTTAAGTGGCATTTGCTGACATCGCTATGCAAGGCAAGGCATTGCCTTGCCATTGTGAATGTTCTAAAAAGAGCTTTAGGTGATAGTGTGGATGAAGAGAGTGGGGGTGTGGTGGTAGCAATGTGCCAGCAGTTGTGGCAATGTAGCAACCACGATGGAGTGTGGTGATGGTATTATGGTGATGACGATGAATCGAAGAGCGGTGACAAAGTGCGGTGATAGCACTGTGACGTCAGTGGTAGTAGTGTCATTGTTGTTGGTGACAATGTGTTGGTGGTGGTTATGGGTGTTCATCGGTCCAAGACCAGACTGAACCGGACCAACTCGGACCGAAACGAAGACCGAATTGATTAAAATCACGGATCGGAGGTCGGACCTAAATTTATTCAGGGTTGGACTGGACCAGACCAAAATAGTTAGGATCGAATCGGTCCGAAACGATTCCAAATAAAATTGTATTTTTTTATCATTTTGATCAATTAAATATATTTTAGGTTTTGATAGTTTGTTATTCAAAAAATATTTTAGGCTTTTTATTTTGTAGCATACAAATAGGAAAAAAGTAGACAACCTAAAAATAGATACATAACATGGATTACTTCTATGTAGAATAATAAAAATTAATGTGAAACTTTTTTTAAAATTTATTAACAAAAACTTTTTTAATTAAATAGATTAAAATATCTATTCAAGTAAAGCATCAAAGTGTATTACGAAATTTAAAAAATGGAGTTTACTTATTTAGGTCTTTTATGTTCAATATGGTTATTAGCTCCAATCAGTCAGGACTTAATTAAATCATTTTGGGTTTGGACTGGATCGGACCGAAATCCAAACTCCTAAATTTTTTGGACTAAAGACCGACCCGAACCTGAAATCCATTTGATTCGGGTTCGATCTGGACTGAACAGTATGTTTGATCATCTTTTTCGATCCAGGCCTAAACGTGAACAACTCTAGTGGTGGTGGTGATAGAGTGAAATTATGGTCACAGGCCGTCACACACAAGAGTGAAATTTTACTCCGTAATTATGACGGTATAATTATAAGCTTATTACTATGTATGTTTGGAGTTTGGACATTATTCATGCAGCTATATGGAAGATTAATGTTTTATGTCCCAAAATATTTGTCATACTACATAAATTAGATTGAAATTTCAAATTATCAAATTTTTTATTTAAAATTTTCTAAAAAATAAAGAATAAAATTCATATATTTAAATACTAAGTTAATTTTTTTAAAATAATAATTGAATAAAAATATTTTATTTTATCTAATAGTCTATGAAAAAACAAGCAAATAAAAGTTTTATTGATTTTCAAATAATAAAATGTGGCATTTTTAGAGCATTTATGATATAGAAGTTTATTGTCTTCTCAATTTCTATCACGTCATCATATTTTCTTCTTACACCTACAATGCTATTGCCTTCTTGCCTTGTATCTTCATTTAATTTACAATTTTCATTATTTTCACTTAAAAATTTATATTAATTTAATAGACATTATTAACTATTAATAAAATTAATAAATAATAATTCCTCCGTCCCAATTTAAATTATATATTTTGATTTACGATGTTTAACCAAAGTTATTTTCAGTCCAATTTATTAGAGAATTGAAGCGGAATAAAAAATGAATTTCACATATTAAAAAATTACATCAAAAACTCTAAAAATAAGATGTATCATTATTATATTGTTTTATCAAATAACTACCAAAAATAAGAAGAGAATTTCAACAAAGTGTGACAATGTGAATTAGTAAACATGCAACTTCTCTGACATGTAATGGGTGCTGTTGTGCGCCACTCAGAGCGGCACGACAAGTCTCTCCTCTCCATAAATGCTTTTAGGTCCATATCATAAGGTACGGAGTATAATTGAATGAACCTTCTATAGTAAATAAATTAATATAAAATGTATTTATTATACTCCCTCGGTCCACCATAGATCTTCCCAGACACTATTTACAGGTCAAACTTTACTCACTTTGTTTGCTCATTTTTACTAGTCATTTCATAAAATAATATAGTCTTGTCACCTCTAGTTTTGTAGAACTTTTCATGTAGTTTATTACAATATAAATTTTATTTTAAAATTTTACTCCTATAATCAATTAAATTGAATTGAAAATAAAGTCGGTCAAGACTCGTAACGCGTAATGGGAAGATCTTACATGGATGGAGGTAGTAACTGATGGGTCGATGCCTAAAGGACGGTCCAAACTATGGCCATGGCGTGTGCAGGTTCCGGTGAGTGTCTGAACTTAGCAACGGGCCGGCCCAAAGCTGTGGGCTTAAGTTGACCCGAGCCGCATAGCCGTTGGGAGTCCATCGGACAATAAGAGGGATGCGGCTAGGTTGCGGGAAAGGCACCGAAAGAATATGATTGCTCAAATCACGGAATTATCAAGTAATCCGTAATTAATAAAAGAATACAAATAAAGAAAACTTCCCATGATTATTGTACGGAGTAATTAAAAAGGAGATGTTGCTAACATTTTACGAGAAAAGGAGTATTTAATGTTTTTTAAATTGAATCACAAATGATAAGTTTATCTTTAATTGGGGTGTACCCATAAAAATTTATTGGGTATGTGACTAGAGATGGAGTAGTGTGCCGTGTCCGTATCTGACTGAGAGGGAGTTGTTCTTAATTGTTAATGTCCACAATTCAATTCAATCTTATTTTAATTTAAATTTTAAGTTTAATATACTGTGTGTGGGGTGGTCAGTCGCATAAAAAGGATGAGTGAGATAACAACAAGTCTTCTCTGTTCTGTCAAAATTGGGGTGGGGGTAAAATTGACCAGAGAACGGTCTGGGCGGTAGGTATGAAGGAATATTCCATTCCCACCCCACCCCACCCCACCCCACCCTATTATGTGTTCTCTCGGACATGACTCGTGATTCTAGCCCATTACTTAACCTAATCCTATTCCATTAAACAAATTTTATTTTAATTAATTTCTTTTTTTATTTCGATTATGAAGGAATAACGAAATTGCATAATTGAAATGCATGAAAAAATAAGAAAAATGG